AGTTTCTTTAGTACTCCAGTCGTTGGCACGTGTTGTGGTGACGGCGTCGAAGCTGATACTGTGGTCGTGTTTGTTGAGTTCAGACTCGAAGGAGAGTGGGAAAGGTCGGGTGACGAGGAAGTAAGCAATGGAGACGACATTTCAGATGGCTTCGAGGACGGATACGTTGCCAGGCAATACAAGATGGCTGTCCTTGCGTCGTCATTGTGTGAAAAGACGTCGATACTCTCCAGGGTCTGCATGGTAGTTAGGAACTGCTGTAGTGCACCCACATGGACCGCTGGCGTGTCTCTGAAACTGAAAAAGAAGCCGATATGGGTTAAATTGGTGCATGTGCGACTTATGGTCTCGAGTTCTTGGGCGAAAGGATAGACGACTCTGAGCGAATCGACAAATGGCCCCAGGGTTTCGAGGCGCTGGACCAGCTGGACTCGATCGTCCGGGTTCTGCTTCCAGTAGATGGCGGACAGGTGCAGGTGGGGCGAGAACAGGCTGCGCCACTCGTGGGAGACTCCGCGACAGACCAGGAGGTCCTTCCAGGTCAGGAACGAGACAATGATGCCGGTGATTTCGGGAATATGGAGGGCATGGAACCTAAAGTGGGCAGCCATGGAAGAACAAATGCGCTGAAGAAATGGAGTCGAGGATCAAGATGAATGAGATTGCAATTTTGGACAAGAACAAGGCAAGAAAGAGAGAACTTTTTGCAAGTGTCTGCAGGGGGAAGAAAAAGGTGGTTTTTCATCTACAAAAAAAAAAAAAAAAAAAAAAAGGCATGTGGGGACGTGTTTGGACGAAGTGCGTGTGTGAAGGTGGCACGGATCTCGAGGGTTGAGTGAGGGTTGAGGGTCGAGGCACTGTGGTCATTAGTCCATTTGTATTTGCACCTTACCATTATCAAGCCTAACGGTCCAGTGTTTGGAGCAAAGACCCAGAACGCGTTTCTTTTTGGAAAAGGAGAGCAGAGTGCTTATGCTCTGCTATGCTAGGGAACGGTTGGCGCATCCTCGTGCGACATGCAGTCATTCTATCAAGAATATATTCGTCCGCACAGACGGAAGGCGGCGAAGTGACTGTGCTACCCTACCCGGCAACATTATGACGAAGCAGGCAGGGTTGTTGTTGTGTCGTTCATCAGACATTGCCTTTGCGAGTAAGCCGTCTTGGCAGCCACCGCACTCTTGGCCCTCTTCTCCGGCCCACAGGGACTTAAGCATATGCCACGGTCCACACACACATGGACGGCGACCGTACAAAAAAGTGTTGGGCTCATCGGCATATGAACTATGGCTCGGCTGAGCAAAATGACAAGAGAGACATAGTGGGAAAGGGTACGTTTGTGTCTTTGTGTCTACATGTATAGTCCATGTGCTCTCTTCACTCGTGTGTCATCCATGTCGTCAACCTGTTATTACCGTTTGCAGTTGTTGGCTCAATCTGTGCAACCAATCCAAGAAGAAAAAAACCAACAATGTTGGTCTTGAACCCAACAGGAAAAGAAAAATGTTTTTGACGACCATAAAAGGACGGAAGAAAGGGCATTCATTTTCCTAAACACATCTCATTCATCCCGGCCGCTCATTCATCTCCACATCTCAACCCACAAACACTGCAACACATCTCTGTTTTACTCCCTCCACAAATCTTCTCCACATATCACACACCCCTGCTGCTCCTCGCTCAAGATCACCCTCCAACGATCCCCCTTACATAAACACAAAAATATGATCGGAAAAGCCGCTTGCGTCTCCATCCACACCCTAGCTACCGTTCTCTCGATCCGCCCGCCAGCCTCCTCGGTCAACAAAGAAAAGGCGGACAAGGTCAAGGACGAGGGTCTCTTCTCCACCATCATGATCGATCTTATGCCCCGCGTTGGCCAAACCGCCGCCATTGTCGCCGCTGCTCTTTATATCGTGCTCATGTCTCGCGGAGTCATCTCGCCAGAACTCAGGCCGTGGCAGGTCCTGACCACGATCAGTGGTGTCCTTGGATACTTCCTCCGCGCATGGTCTTTCAAGACTTTGGATCGATTCTTCACAGTAAGAGATACATAGATCCCGGATAACAAACGTTGTCATGTCTGCTGATCGGTGACAAGGTCTATTGACACTTTCCATTTCTTCCTCCATGTAGTATTCTCTTACTATCCGCCCAGGGCATCGACTCGTGCAGGATGGGCCCTACCGATTCTTGCTCCATCCGTCGTACACTGGGCTGATTTTGACGGGCATCCCCTACATCTACTCGATGGCCTTTGAGGGTTACTGGACATACCTGATCAAACCTCTGATGCTGATCCCCATCCCGGGTTTGGTCTTGACGCTGGGTGGGCTGATTCTCGCCTACGGCTTGACCATCTTCCGTGTGCAGGGCGAAGAAAAGATGCTGTACCAGCACTTCGGCTCTGAATGGCAAGAGTATGCCTCCAAGCGCTGGAGGTTTATTCCTTTTGTTGTGTGAGGAGGAATACGAAATAAAAAAAGCGCTTTTTATGTACACATGCCCGAATTTCATCGAATCTGCTTGTAAGAGAAAATTCATCATTGTCTTTAGTATGACTGCCATGGAAGAGTTTCCCACTCGCCTTCTATCGTTCGGCCTTGACATCATCCTTGTGGAGATGTTTCCCTTCGTCATCCCGCTATGAAGGGCATGTTTTCCTTGCAAATACAAGCCATCGATATCGAACTATTCCAACTATGTTCCCGATTTTAATGGATAAATGGTACAAATCGCCAGCGTGTCGCCGCATGATCGGTCAGTTCCTGCCCAAAAGTCTGTTGCAACATGGCTTCTTCCTCCCCCCCCCCCCCACCAGACGGTTGTCAAAGACAGCCGCTTGGTGCCAGACTAAAGCAAGCACTGCCAATGCGCCGGGGAAGGAGATCGGCAGTCTTGGCTTAATAAAGTGCGCCCACAAGCCCTTGTAGTCTACACACACCACATATGTCAAGAAGATCGTGATCAGCCCAGTATAGGAGGAGTGGAGCAAATATCGGTAAGGCTTAGTTTGACCAAGCGCTAGTCTTCTCGGATGGTCATCTGGTACTAAGTTGCAATGATACAGGAGTGAAAAAAAAGGAAATGGCATGGCGCTTTAGCGCGAGGAGACACGGAGTGTAAATCGATCTCACAAATAAAACATACGGTAAAGAGCCATCCCAGTGTCCTGAACGCCCAATAGCGCAGAGCGACGACCAGGACACTCCCATAGTTAGTGGCGTGTTGGTGACGTTTCCTACTTCACATTTAACACACATAAAAGAACAGTCTTACGGACTTTGCCAACCTTCACAGGGGCACACACATAATACGCCTGCAACTGGGAGCAAACCATTGCAAGGAAATTGATGATGGAGGTGCGGCTCATGAGCATGAATACTTTTGATAGTACTGTTGTAAAAAAAAAAAAAAAAGAGGAGAAAAATTCGAACCCTCGACAGTCATGAAGAACAGACTGCGTGAAAAACGTATTCTTGGGTTATGCAGCGCCTTGGACCTCTCGGTCACCTCTCCCTTGGTCCGTTGCTGAAGGAATGCGTCTGGATTTGGGGTCAAAACGCACAGAGGGCTCTAATGGCCTACGATAGTGTGTGTATTAATGTTCATCACCCCCCATGCTTGTAATGTTCACGTGAAACCTTTCCCCCTCCAGCTTATTCTCATTTTCAGTCCTTAGTAAATAAACGGCACAAATCTCCATCGCGTCGCCGCATGGTCTGTCCACTGCTGTCCAAACCCCTGCGCCAACATGGCTTCCTCGTCCTGTGCGCGTCGAATGAAGACAGCCATTTGATACCAGAGCAAGGCAAGTGTAACCATGGCACCAGGGATCGGAACTGGCAGCGCAGGCGCGATCACATATTTCCAGTAGCCCTCATAGTTCAATGTCGCCACATACGAGACCATGATCACGACCAGCCCAGTGTAGGATGGGTGGAGCAAGTACCGATAGGGCCCAGTTCCGATAAGGCGATGCCCCTCTCGTATTCTCAACTGGAACTAAAATATCGTTTAGTCAAAAATATCAATGAGACGAGGAACGCTTTCCATGCATAATAGCCACGCATCACGTCTTTCTTTTGCTTACAGTGAAGAACCGATCCAAGGTTATATAAGCCCAATATCGGAGAGCAAAAGCAAACACACTCAGGACACAGGTGGCCGTCTGCCATGGCCTGAGATGCGCTGGAATCGTGCCGTGGTATACCAGCGCTAGATACAATGTTGAAAGCGAGATTACGATCGCCTGGCCCAGAGGCGATATGAAAACCGCGTAAACGGCCACAATGAGAGGATTCTTCTTGACTTTGTCGGTTGATTCTTTCTTTGCTGGAGCTTTTGGCGCCTGAATGGCCAGATAGGTTACCAGCGTTTGGACGGCAATGCAGACGGCTTTTGCAAGCATCGTTTTTTTTTGGCGCTTGGAAGTTGATGGGTTTTTTTGAAGAGAGAAGTAAGAGCAAGGATGGAGCGAAGAAAGAAATAAAGTAGGACGCTTTGACAAAAGTGTATTCTTTTCGAGTGATTTTTTTCATCCTCCCATTCTCCTTCTTTCTTTTCCTTCTATCTTTTTTTCTTTGCATTGTTGCATTGCTTCCGCGTCCTTTGGCTGCAGTAAACTGATCAGAAAGAGTAAAGGACAATGACCTCAACGGAGTTAGTAAAGGCATCAACTTCCCACTCCCCTCTCCCCCTTAGTTTTTTTCTTTCTTTTTTTGTCTACTGATGGAGCAAATCGGCGGGACAATTTTTCGGATCGTAGTGACTTTATCGACGAAACACGCATATTAGTGGCGTGAGGATATTTTTTCGTAGTTCGCGTTGTTCTCATGTGGACAAAAAACAAAACAACACAAAGTCTCATAATCCCATCAACATTGACCAAACCATCGCTTTCGTGTTGCCGATGCACCCCTGGCATCAAACCAATAAAAAGAGACAAATGAAAGGTATATGGAGGCGCGACTCCAAAGCAGAGTACAAAAAAAAAAACTGGGAGAGGGAGGGATTCGAACCCACGACTGTCTTGGAGAACAGACTGCATGAAAATCGTTTTATGCAGCGCCTTGAACCACTCGGTCACCTCTCCTTGTTGGTGAGGATGTGTTTGGATTTGGGTATATAAAGTATATAAGCGAAAGGATGTTCATGCGACATCCAACACCCAGAAACATTATTTACATGCGAACACGTACAAGAAAAAAAAACTTTAAGCATCGGAATAAACCATTGTTAAGTGCCGTTTAGACATTTTAAGCCGTTTTTCGGCCATGTCGTCTGTGGCCAGGCGAAGCTGGGCAGATGACAACTAATTAGGACTAAGATCACAGTTCAGGTTTCGGCGGCCCCATAGCTCAACGCTCAGTTAGTCCTTCTGTATTATGGTTTGTTTAACATGCCTCCTACCCATCGTGGTCCCGCGGACGCCGTGCTATATTGGTGGCGCAGGAATATTAAAGAAAAAAAAATACCGGAGGCGCGGCTAAAGAACACATTACTTTAGATCCAAAAAAAAAGAGGAGAGGGAGGGATTTGAACCCACGACTGTCTCGAGAAACAGACTGCATGAAAACGTATTTTTAAGGTATACAGCGCCTTGGACCACTCGGCCACCTCTCCCTGTTGCTCAAGGTTGATAAAGATGTTGTTGGGATTTGATTTTTTGTATGCGCCCACGGTTCTCTGATGCAAAAGTACACAGCACTAAATCTCAATTTTGGTGGCAAAATACGCGTTATGGCATAAAGTCGGAGGTACGTAATACAAGCAAACGTGAAGAAAAGAAAATTATATTGCTATGCATACGACTCAAAGCAACGGTGTGAATGAAGTCGCACTGTGTTCATCAGATACATTTCGACAATGGAGTCAAGGTGGAGAGTTGCTGATCACTATTCAAGTGGAGAGTAGTTGATCACTATTCACATTGTTGGAATGCAGCAAGCAGAAGTTGTTATGAACCAAAATTTTGGTGAGAGTCGTGTGCTCATGGCAGTGTTTGTATGTTCGTGGCCCTCCTTTGCTTTTTTGAGACTTTTTTTCCAGTTCCCCTGAGCCACGCACCTTTAGCTTTCAGTTCCCTCCACAGTAGCTCGCAAAGCCCAATTTCGTCTGCCATAGTGAACATGCTTGCTCTTGTCAGTGATCACAATCGCCGATGTGATACTAGGATTCACCCGCACACACGCATTATGACCTCTCCTTGGTCAACAGCAACGAGAGTTCTTTACGCGTAGCATTCGCAAGGCTCACCTACCTACTCCTTTAAGCACACTTGCTCCTCCTATGCTGAGAGATAAGGCCGAGAAACTGTTTATTGCTGTGAAGAACAGATGAAAGTTGTGTGTGTTTTGGAAATTGTGTGTAGGAAGCAGAGAAACCGAGTACAATCACCCTTTTAAGAACCGTATTCTTTCCGTTTAGAGCCTTATTCACATACCATGAGAGATGTATTTACGGCGCTGCGGGTGCACAGAGCAGCTTCTCTGTTCGGAGCGAGAAAAAAACGAACCTGGTTGGGCGCAACACAAATGCAGCCATGCACTGAAGCAAGGAAAAAGTATTCCGTCTTGGGTCATATGCGTTGGTCTGGGGACTGTATCCGCTAAGACACAAATCTTTTTCTGGATGCATCTTCCTTTCTTTATATATATATGTATATTTTTAAAAGATAAATAAACGATATTCGAATTGTATCTTTTGGCCCTACTCCATACGATGTTGCTAAGAGCATGGGTCGGCCCTTCTTCTAGAAAGACTTTGAGAAAGTAAGACCAGTCTCGGAGACCTATAACCAATGAACGAACTTTGATCGAGTGTTTGCGAATGAGCGAGAGGTGAAAGTAAGGATTGAGGTTCTCCAATTCCTGTTACAAATGAATCCAGGCTGTGTAGCTCTCGCGAAGTGGCCGAGCGCGTCTCTTCGCTGAGAGGAAAATACAGCAGAGATCTTCTAGTGGGGGCATAGTCAGAGCGCTCTCTGAAGAAAGAGCGTGACACTTGTCAATATAAGACAGTGAGCATATAGTGGATAAGCCACCCACTAGAGGGTCCTCAAGGCGCGATTAGCCCTCCAGAAAGCGCACCAGTGTGAGGATTTGGATGGCAGATCGGCCTTGTCGTGGCAAGAATAGGGTTCTTTGAATTATGTTTTCTAACATTATTTACCCACCTCCACTTTGAAGATCCGAGATCTGACGCACCGCTCCTGGGCTGCAAGGTCGCAGTGACAGGTCCCAGAGGAGACATTGTCGCGTTTGCCACCGCTTGATTTTGAGCCCCCCAAAGACGCCGCCAATAACCATACGACAACTACATCAGTGGCGATTGTTGGTGCCAATGGCTCGACCAAGTCCAAGCTTACAAAGGCCGAGATGGACGTCACTGGCGGCACATCAGGACATTAGACGCCACCAACCCAATAATTGATTTCGACCAACATGAACAAAAAAATAACTTGACGGGGGCGCGGTTCAAGATTACCATCGCTTTTTCTTCAAAACAAAAGAAGAAAATGGGAGAGGGAGGGATTCGAACCCACGACTGTCTTGAGAAACAGACTGCATGGATAAATTGTTCAGCGAGTATGCAGCGCCTTGGACCACTCGGCCACCTCTCCCTATTTTACGGAGGATGAGCTGATATATCGAGTTTATAAGCTCGGACCATTCCGCCTGACATCCCCCGCACCTCCCAACATGCTATTTTTCATGCTTCAAAAAGCTCACCTTGCTGCGATTTACAAATTTTTAATATCTTTTTGTCGATTTTTCCTTTTTCCTGTCTTGCTTGTCTCCTCTATCTGTCATCCATCCACCTTTCACTCATCCTCATGCTCCTCCTTCTTCATCTCCCGCTTTTTACGCCGACGCCGGTGGTCCTCCCTATCCCGCGCCAGCTGCTCCCGCCCCAGAGCCTCTTTGCGCTCGTCCTCCCAATGCTCCAGCCTTCTTCTCTGCAGCAGACTCTGTCCGAGCTGGAGTCTGCGCACCAGTTCCTCGTGCAGCGTCCGGAACGTCATCATCTGGATCGACACAGGTCCGTCCGTCTCCTCGGCAATTTCAATATGCTCCAAGGGGTATGACTCGGCGTCCAGGCTCATGTCCTCCAGGCCATAGACACCTTGGCCGTTCAGTTCATGGACATGTCGTCCCTGGAGCTGTTCAAGCACCGCCTTCCGTGGCCGCAGGAGCACATCAATCTCGTGCATCATGTCGGCCGTGGCCCCGGACGCCAAACACAAGCGCGACTCGGGGATACGAGACTCACTATGGCTCTGGCCATGGCGATAGGTATGCACATCTTGACCATCTTGCTCATCGCCAAGATGATAGACGCGTCTGACCTCGTCGCCCACAAGCAAGTCGCCGTCCGTGGGGTGCTCGGGATCGTAAAAGAACTCGGGGATCAGAGCCTGATGCACACTCATCGTGAGCCGGACGGGCGGCTGCATGTTGTCCATGAATGTCAGCACGCGACCACATTTAGAAAACACAACTTTGGTATGATCCGCAAAGTTGATCTATGACGTAGAAAAAAATTGATAAGAAACTGTTAGCAAATCCGGATGTTCTTTACCTAACACGACAAAATTTCATTCAGGAACCCCCTCCCCCCCCAAAAAAAAAAAAAAAAAATGGTGAGAACGGCAATGATCTTCTTACCTGAACAATCCCGTTACTGAGGCGCATCAGGATATGTTTCCGGCGGAAGAGGTTGGTCAGAAAGGGCATGCCACGGGTCAGGAGCTTGTCCTCGTACGACCAGCAGATCAGTCCCCGCAGCAGCTGCAACATATAATCCTTGTATGACGCTTGGACCTTGAGTTTCTTTTCGAACCGGGGAGGGTACTTATTGGTGCGGCAGTACACGCGCTTCAAGCTCTGCAAAAACCAGTCGTGATCCCACTCGTCGTAGAATGTTTCTGCTGGGTCGTGTTGCTGAAGGTACAGCGATGGGATCTCACCCGATTCATTCTCGCGTGGCTTAACCTCACGGCTCGTGTCCTCGCTTCGGTTCTGGCTGTTTTGCGACTGGCTATTGTTTTGGCTCAGAGATGTCAATTCATTGCCGGTGCTGGTCCGTACCAAGGTGGCAGGGTTGACAATATTGTTCTGGTCGTCGTAAATGACCATCATCTGGGTATCGCCGTCCTCGTCAATGTGTCGCTCCAAATGCTTGATAGTAGACGCTTTGAGATCCAGTGACGAAACGAGAGCTGCAGGATCCTTGAGTTCGCCATATTCCGTGGGGTCGCTCTCGGTATAGGATCGGCGCTTAAAACCTTTGTCGTCCATCTGAGGGTCATGTGTGCTGTTGTTGGCTGAAGAAGGGGCCGTTGTGCCTGAAGTAGCACCCGTTTTTCTTGTAAGGCGCTTATGAGCCGACCTGGGAGCCTCAATAATCTCAATATCACTATTTTTTTTGTATAAAACAAAAAAAGACAATGAAGGGTGAGTAAAAAAGTAATATATCGTTATCACCCCGTCAAGAAAAGCCGAGTCAGGAGGATATGAGCAACTTACATGGCATTTGGAGAGAGTGAAACGATGGTCTTGTCGTTGTACCGTACTCCCATGACACCATTGGTCAGATACCAACCAACACCGTAGCGAGCATACTCAATCCAGCGCGCAATAAACACTGTTGGGATCTCAGGCATGTCCTTGAGATGGATTCCACTGTAGTCAGGTGCTAGCGAGAGCAAGAATCCTTCTCTGTGGGCACGCAACATCTTGCAGAGGTGCATTTCGACTTGTTCGTACAATCCCTTGCTATCGGGATTCTTGTTCCTGAGGTTCTTGATGGCCGCCTTGCCAACCAAGGGAACTTCCTGCTGCGGCAATTTTGGTGTGTACACACGCTGAATCTGTTGCGCTTGTTGTGCCTGTGCTTGCTGTGCTTGTTGAGTGTGTTGAGCCTGCTGTACCTGCCGAGCTTGCTGTTTCTGTAGTTGTAGGTGCTGCAGCTGCAGCTGTTGGTGCTGCTGAAAGTCGTTCTGGTGGTGTTGATCATGCATGGACAAGGAAAGAGAGTGAGTTGTGACACAGCTGGTCGAAGGCACTTCCACATGATCCTGCTCGTCAGAGTGACCGCCCGATGACATCCCTGCCATAGTCGTCTCGTTGCTCTGCTTGTTGAAGTTACTCGGATGCTGTTCTGAGGGCGATCCACCAGGCTCAGCACCAGTAGGCGACAGTATTCCCGATTGGCGTTGCTGCTGCTTGAACTGCTTTTGCTGTTGCATCTTGCGACGCTGTTGGATCTGCTGTTGTCTCTTTTCCTCGAACTCCAGTCGAGTAGAGCTTTGATCCATGGACGAATCTTGAGGCTCATCCTCCTGTTCTACGGCGATGGGTACCATCATTTGGCGAGATCGGCGACGATGCAGATGTTGCTGGGAACGACCATGGGGTGGGAGCATCTCCTCTTCCTCTACCTTTATCTCTTGCTCCTGATCGTCCATCTCTTCATCCGCGCGAGCGCCAAGGGGCTGGGGTGGGGCATTCAGTGACCGATGGAGAAGTTGCTGTTCCTTGGCTTGTTGGTTTCTGCGTTGGAGCGGGCTGGTATACTGGTGTCGGTAAGGATCCTCTACTTGCGCTTCGCCGGATCGTCTTTGAGATGATGGCTGCGACATGGACCCAAAGAGAGATGGCATGGGCTGTGAAGAGGGGAAACTGCCGATGGATTGTCTTGTTGGGGATGATCCAAGACCCAGGTTAATTGGCCCATTTACCTTGAATGGACTCTGATCTGGGCTTGGGCTCATGGCGGCTCTGTAAATGCCTTCCGCCAGCAAGTCTGCTGCTCCTTGATTATCCATGGGGTTGTGCCACAACTGTTCCGTGCCGGACTTTCGAAGAGATGGGGTAGACAGAGACGTAAGGTTCCTGGCCTGCTGATGCTGTTGATGTGGACGGTCTTGAGAGGACGACTGATGGTATTGCTGCGACAAAGGCTGTGAGGAATAGTGCTTCAGCGTCTGAGACCCTTGGTTCCGTTGCTCCTGGGAGCCAGACTGAAGGAACGAGTGCTGCTGCGTCTTGGATTGTGAGTGAGGTTGAGAGTTTTGATTATCGATCTGAGTGTAGTTTAATGGCTCAGAGATAAAGGCGGATGACGGACGATGCTGATGCGTGATCCTTGAAGTCTTGCGAGGTGAATCCAATGGTCTATTTCTAGCCAGTTCCGACAGCTCGCGATCCTGGCTGACTGACCTCTGCATTGCGCTCGCAGGTCTCTCAACTCCTTGAACATTTTGAATGACAGTGCCAGCACTTGCACTTCCTGTGCGCAACGGCGAATGTGAACCCGCATTATGGTGTGATGACCCAGGTGATGTAAACGCTTGTTGTGGCCGAGAAAACGGAGGTGGCATGGGCGAAGAGATCGAGGATACCACCATATCAATATGCTGAACTGGTCCCTGGTCCATGTCCATGTCAACATCCATGTCCATGTCCATCAAGTCATCCCTGTACAACTGTGCCCTTCCTCCTAATTGGCCAGACAACTTCTGGGATGGCAAAAGCCGCTGTGCGAGATCCCTGTCTCCCAAATTTGTCTTGGGAAGTGTGATGGGTGAATCCAAAGTCGAAGTAAAGTCAATGGCCAGTCCTTCAGGCTGAGATTTTCGTTCGTGGGGTGAATCATAGCTGTTGGTCCTGGGTCTATCCTCCTCCTCTGTAGTGCCCATCCGACTCACAGGTTTGCGACGGCCAAAGATCGTCTTGCCAAACGCAGAGCCACCGGGAATACTGGCCATATCCGATGAGCGTCTTCTTGTCATTGGTGAGGGTGAATGAGAAGGAGCGAGCTGGTTATCAGGCAACTGGTAAGGGTGAGCCTTGGTTGGCGTTGGGGGATTAGGTGTCGATCCATTGAGGCGCTGGGAAAATTCAAGCTTGGGCGATGCAAATGTGTTCATGAAGCCACTTCTAATTGGAGTTGAGGAAAGCAGGTCTGGAGACTGATGTGGCTGTGATTGAAGTTGCAGGCTAGGCGCGCCAAGTCGCGACTTGGGCACTGGGAGTCGTGAAGATGCACCATTGGCGGCCAGAGCTGGGACAGATGCAGCCATACTTGGACCGAGGCCCAAAGGCGAATCATGTCGTTGACTAAATGACGCACCGGGAGGGATAATTCCTGAGCGGGACATGGATGGAAGCTGCTGTTGCTGCTGAAATGACCCTGTCCTGGACAACGAAACTTGTCCCCTCGCCTGAGGGGCATGGATCTTGCTACTCTGCTGGATAGTTGACGACGATACTTCGAATGTCATACCGGACGATTGATCCTGAGGGCGGAGAGGTTGGCGCTCGTTCTGGAGTCGAGAATGCGCCTGCGAGAACGGTTGATATGACAATCCACGCTCTGATCCTGCGTTTCCAGCATTCCGAGGTACATTGACCGTCCTGATTTCAGACACAACTCTGCTGCCTTCCATCATTTCCATTTTAACTTGCTCGCCATACTCGAATGTTTGCCGTGGCGTAGATGCTTGCGCCCTGTTGGCGTTGATATTCGTACGACCATGAGCTTGCCGACTACTAGATGAAGGGATATTCGATCCCTGGGTATATTTCTGAGTTTCGGAAGACGGCCGCTGGAAAGTGT